GAGATGGCTATTGGTATCATGATTTGAGTCCTGTTATCAAGCTCTCGTTCTGGGTGGAGGGGGGTTGGGTAAGCCTGCCCTCAGGCCATTAGCAGGGGTCAAAGTTCTGTTCTCTGCTTTCCAGGGAAAGCTGTCAGGGCAGGGCTGGATGGTCCCGCTCAGCCAGAAAGTCTGGGTGTGGGGGTGGGGCTGTCTGAGACCCGCAGTCTGCAGCAGGCCTCGCTTCTTTCCACCCTCCCAACTCCGCAGCTACTCCTGGGCCTCTGCCAGCAGGCCAGACCACAAGCCCACAGGCCTCCCGCTGTGATGATGCCGGGGAGGTTCCCTGCACGGAACGCCACCTGGGTTGGGCGCACGGGCTCTCTCCTGGGAGGAGGGTTGCCCTCTAGGACGCCGGATCCGCCCCTGGAGGCACACAGACCTCAGTAGGCTGTTCACTATAAACCCTTCTGTGTCCCGGGCAATGCTAGCCCTCGTGCAGGGGATCTGGTCTGCAGGTCCACCTCTGGGTCCCAGAGTTCAAACTGTATCCCCCAGGGAGAGGATTTCCGGTCCTAATTCACCCACAGGGAGCCCAAGCTGGGTCTATGTCTTTCAGCCTCTGAGTCGACCATTTTCCTGGGAACACGGTGCCAGCAGCACCTGGAGGGCGGGCGGGGTCCAAACGGGAGTCCCGTTCCCTGGAGTGCCTCCGGCTGGTGCTGTATTGTCTCTCTGGGCAGCGCGGGTAGGGTGGGAGGGAGGAGGAGGCAATATGGTGCCTGCCGCGCGGCTCGGGTCCGTGCACACAGTTGTGCCCGGAGAAGTTGGGAATCTGGTGCCACGTCCTGCGCTCACCGTTGGCAGGCGGCGCAGTCTCTGGGCTGGTGTCCGCAGGTCTCTCCACCCGCTGGGGACACTAGCAGTCCCGAATGCTGGGGAAGGGAAACAGCAATTCCACCTACCCTTGCCGCTGGTCTCCGGCTGCTCCGGTGGTCTCAGCCTCCAGTTCTCCTCGCAACCTCCTCCGTGGAGTCTCCCGGGTCTTAGGTACCCCTCCTTCCGGCCCTTGTCCGCTGTATGCTCGTCTTCTTGCTTCTTTCCTCTAGTTTCTGCTAGAATCTGTCTTTTCTGCAGAGACCCTCTGTCTGGCGGTGTATTCGTCCGCCATCTTCCTCCGCCCTCTGTTTTTATCTAACTTTTAAAGGACAGTTTTACCAGAGATGGTGTTCTTGGCTGGTAGTTGTCATTTTTTTCAGGACTTGGAATATATTACACTGTACCAGTCTAGCCTGCAATGTTTTCTTGCTAAAAAATCAGTTGATCATCCTATAAGAGTACTTTGTGCCTAAAGGAATGCTTGTCCATGCCAAGCCACAGCTATCTTGTTGATTTAAATATTCTGTTTGTAACTTTTAAATCTTTGATAATGATATGTCTTGTGTGGGGTCTCTTCTTATTGTTCCTACAGTAGGTGGAGCTTATTTAAGTTTTATGATATTTTCTGCCTCAACTTTAGAAAGTTCTTAGACATTATTTTTTCAGGTAAGCTCCCTGCTAATTTTTTCTCTCTTATCATTACACAGCTCTCATTATGAATATTTTAACATGCTTGAGAGTAAGAAGTCCCTTAGGCTCTCTTAATATTTTTTCTATTTCCTCTCTTGAGTATAATTTCAAATGGCCTATTATCAAGAAGATGTGTTTTTTCTGCTACATCAAGTCTATCATTGACCTTATCTAGTAAATCTTAAAATTCAGTCGTTTTGTTTTTCAGTTGCATACCGGCTGTTTGTGGAATTTTTTCATTTTAATCTCTGTAAATAATATCATTTTCTTTATGTATTATTTTCCTGCCTTTATTTAGTTGTCTGTGATCTCATTGAGCTGATAGATTATATTTAAGACAGACATTTTGAATGCTTTTAAAATTACCTCATAGAACTTAACTTCTTTAGGGCTACTTGAATATTTATTTTTGTGCTTTATTGGAGTATATTTTTGTTTCTTTGATTTCTTTTCATTTTTAATGAGATTTGGGTAATTTTGATAAAAGGCTACCTACTCCATCCTTTAAAGAATGGCTTTGTTCAGGGGCAATTTAGCACCATCCAGCCACACTAGACATTTTAGTCACTTCTTGAAACTGTTGACAGGATGTGTCATCTCTGGAGGACCTGTATGTTTTCTCACTAAGAAGGTTTGCCTATTTCTTGTTAAAAACCTTTAATCTATACCTTCCGTGATGAATTCCATGTATTCTCTGGTCTCTCTGTTGCTGTAATAATTATTGTTCTTTATTCTCACTGGCTTGGGTATGCCAATTACACTGTATCTGCATTTCTTTTCAGCACTATATATTAAAGGAAGCAATAGTACCAGAGAAACTCAAGACTTTGGATACAGGATTGGATTAAGTGTTCAGTCAAACATTTCTGAAGACCAGAGATTTAAAATTGAAAAAGATACTTCTGAATGGGATCCATTTGATGAGTTCTTTATTAATACTTTAATAGTCTGCAACCCCAAAATAACAATACCATCTTATACCAAAATCTACAATGTTTATCAGTATGGTAAGGTGTTTACCTAATTATCAATGTTTAATCAATATCAGGGAATAGATAATTGGGACAAACATTACATATTCAATAAAACTTTCATTTCCTTTTCCCAGGACTTTACTACAAATAATTACCAGGATATTTATGTTGATGACAGAAATTATCAATGCAATAAAACTGAAAAAGCCTTGGACCCAGTCTCATGCTATAGAAAATATCAGAAAGCTCAATATTCAGAGATCCAGCACAAATGTAAAAAATGTGAAAAATGTGAAAAAGTTCATCATTCATGTTTAAAACTTACTAGCCATGAGGATTTCCACATTCAAGAGTATTTCTACAAGTGTAATGAATATGTAAAAACTTTTGCCGAGTCCAAGAAACATTCTCAAAATCAGGGCATTCATACTGGAGAAAACTCTTCCAAGCGAATTAAATGTGATAAAGTACCTTAGTCAGTCACCCAATCTAAGAAAACATAACATAATCCACACTGAAGAACACCTCTAGAAACATAAGGAATGTGGCAAACCTTGTAACCAGAGTTCACAGCTTAAACGGCAGAAAATCTATACGGAGAAGAAATCCTACAATTGTAAAGAATGTGGCAAAGCCTTTTACTGTAATTCAAATCTTAGTTCATTCACATCAGGAAATTTACATTGTAAGAAAACCCTATAAATGTGAAGAATGTGGTAAAGAGTTTCAGCATAGTTCAAGGCTTATTCTACATCAAAGTATTCATACTGGGGAAAAAATCCTACAAATGTGATGAATGTGGCAAAGCCCTTAGCTGTTGTTCACATCTTAGCCAACATCAGAAAATTCATACTGCAGAGAAACCCTACAAATGTCATGAATGTGGCATAGCCTTTACCCAGTGCTCAATATCAGGGACTTCATACTAGGTAGAAATCCTATAAACATGAAGAATGTGACAAAATCTTTTACTGTAGTTCACACCTTACAACATCAGAAAATTCATACTACAGAACTCCTGTAAATGTAATATATGTGAAAAGAGTTCTGTCCCAAATGTATAACTTAGAAATCACAAGCGAGTTCACAGGGAAAGAAACTTTACAGGTGCAATAAATGTGCAGAAGTATTTAACCAAAAATTAAGTCTAAGTCAGGGCATTCACACAAGTAAAAACTAACGCACACTTTCAGATTTTACATTATCCCAGAGTATTAATTGTAGAGAATAATGACATCAAAGCAATTAGAAAATTTCTCTGATCATATTTTTCAGAACAGAAACAACATTGATATTTGGACAGGCATACTTATATTCCATGGGTACTTTGCTTTGATAGTATTTGAAATTTTTCAAAAGAAAATATTAATGTAATTGAATTCTTAAATTATTTGATGATATGCTTTCATCTGTAATGTTTATATGAAAATACGTGAAATGTTGTTTCTGCATCAGCAGTATGGGAGTCCATTCAATCTTAGGTGAATATGATTAACATCAATTTTTCCATGAAAATTTTATGGCAAATGTGAAATGCATTAAGAAAATTTAAAGATGTTTTTTGTGTTTGGATCAAAAAACAATGCTGCATGTAAGTATACTATCTTTAATCAGAGCATTTTTCTTGTGTATTAAAGTAAGAAAAACATTCTAAATCTGAAAGATGAATTATTTTATCAATTGATCCTTAAGTAGAGAAAAATTGGCCAGTTACTTAAAATACGGATGTATCTTAACAGTGGAACGAAATAGAAACCTTGACTATTGTTTGATGTGATAGAGAACATAGAAGTCGTGAATGCTATTTGATGTCTTCCCAGGGAATAGCCAGAATCCATAACTGTTTGATGCCCTGATAACAAGTCTGCCAACATTCGAACCCACTGCAGACCCGGGAACAGTCATATGACTTGGTTCTGACCTCACTGCAATCTTAAACTCAACAGCCCTGTACTGAATAGAAAAAGGTATTTACCTCTCAAAACTTGTTTAAAATGACTGGAAGAGGTGTTCGCTCCCTCAGATTCAAAGGCAGAAAGCAAGGGTATCCATACCATAAAGAACCAGTCAGATATGATCACCATAAAAGAAACTAATAAAGCTCCAGTAATCATCTCCCCAAAATAAATAAATAAATCTCTAAGAACTGCCTAACAAAGTATTTATCTCAGTATGATCCAAAAGACTACAGATAGACAACTAAAATATACACAATACAAAATGTTGTCATGGGTAACATAGATAGTATAAAATGTTTGAATGGGAGAAAAATTGTTGAGTTTTTCTATGCATAAAAGTTAAAATTTTATCATCTTAAGCTAGACTGTTGTAAGTATAAAATGTCTTATATCTTAAAAACGCTGGAAAAGCAACTATGATACATACAGGAAAGAAAGAGAAGTAAAGAAACAATATACCAACAAAATATCAAGATAAAAAATAAGAGAAGACAGTATTAATAAAGAAACAAAGAAAATAATGAAAATATTAAATGGATAGGAAAAACAAGATTACTATAGAGAAGACCTTGCCAACTTCAATTTATTAGTAAGATGGTTTGAAAAATAAAGAGAAAAAATTTAAAAAGAAAAGACCTTATGTATCCATAATTCCTTTACACAGACTAAATTATTTAATGAAAAGATGCTACTATTGATTGTTGCCTCTAAAATTTTTGGCAAAATTTAATTACCAAAATTTATTTAATTATGATAGAATTAAGATGTGGGACCTTTAAGAAGTGATTATTCCATGAGGGCAAAATGAATGGATTAGGTTTTTTCTATCATAGTAGTGTGTTAGTTATGAGCAGAGGTCTGTTAGCAGAAAATGGAATAAAACAGGGTTGTTGAATGGATTTTTAAAAAACCCAAATATGCTACTTACAGGACACTCACTTTTTTTATTTCAGCATATCATGGTGGTACAAATGCTTAGGTTACATGTGTTGCCTTCCCCTCCCCCAACCCCGATGTCAGAGCTTCAAGCCTATCCATCCCCAGATGGACATCATACTCATGTATGTATATACCCATCCCCTCCTCCCCTTCCTATATGCCCAATGACTAATATATGTTATTCCTATATGTCCACTTAGGAGGACATTCACTTTTGATTTAAGGACAAACAGGCTAAAAGTGAAAGAATGGGAAAGGATGTTCCATGTAAATTATAACAAAAAGAAAGTACAGGGGTGATTATAATTATATTGGACAAAATAAGCTTCCAGGCAAAATCTGCCACAAAAGTAAAAAACGTTTACTATATAATAACAAAGAGGTTAATTTATCAAGAGGATACACAATTAAATGTAAATATGCACGCAACATTAAAACCTCTAAATATATAGATATTAACAGAATGGTAAAGAGAAATAGACAAAAATACAATAATAAAAGGGGGTTTCACTAGCCTACTTAAAACAATGGGTAGATCATTCAGACAGAACACTAATACAAGAAGAGTGTCCTTATAAAACACAATAGACCAAAATGACCTAACAGACATACATATAATAGTCTATGCAACATTACCAGAATATATATTCTTCCCAAGAACACATGACATAGTCTCTAAATAGAGCATATGTTGGACCAAAAAAATCTTCTTGAATTACAGAAGATTAAAAGTATATTAAGTTTTTCTTTCTGAACACAAAGACATAAAACTGAAAATCAATAGCAGAAGGAAAATTGGAAAACTCAAAAATATGTGGATAGTAAAAACCATGACCCCGAATAATCAGTAGGTCAAATAAGAAATCTAAAGGGAAGACAAAAAGTATTTTGAGACAAAGGAAATTAGAAGAACCACCAATGAACACTTCTAGGATACAGCAAAAACATTACTAGGACAAATTTATAAATGACAACCTTTGACCTTAAGAGAAAACCAAAGTTCTTAAATAAAATCTATCTTTAATCGCCAACGAACTTAAACAGGAAGAATAAAATACCAATGTTAGCATAATGAGGGAAATAATAAAGATTACAACAAGAAATTTAAAGGCTAGAAAGACAATTGAAAAGATCAAAGTAACTACTAGTTGAGTTTTTAAAAGAAAACAGAATTGAAAAACTTTTGACTAGATTAACCAAGGAAAAACAAGAGGAGTGAAGAAAAAAATGAAAGAGAAGGGAGGTGGGCACTGGGCACCAGGAGAGGGTCACCACCACCGCAGCCAAGCCTGTGGTGGGCGGCGAGGAGGGATCGACGCCAAGAGCCACATCTAGGCTGGCGCAGCACGCCATGGCCAGGCTTATGACCTCCGGCCTTGGCAGGTGGCCAACAGCTAGCTTTCATGTGTTCCTTTTATACAAGTAAAGTCCCCAATTACAATTCTCTGCTGAGATTTTTAATATATATAGAAGAAATCTGCCGAGCATGGTGGCACATGCCTGTAGTCCCAGCTACTCGGGAGGCTGAGGCAGTAGTATCGTTTGAGCCCAGGAGTTTGAAGTTGTTGTGAGTGAGGCTGATGCCTAGATGCTAGAGCGACGGCACTCACTCTAGCCTGGGCAACAAAGCAGAAACCCTGTCTCAAAAAAAAAAGGATTTCAGAAGTTATTGTGATAGCCAAGTGGGACTACACAGCCCAACAGAACCAGGAGCTCCAACTCCATCAAGAAGAATGAGTGCCTGTGGTTGCTGGAGGACTCCAAGACGTGGTGCTGGGTGAGGAATGTGGCCAACAGGGCGGGCTATGTGCTGTTCAACTATGTGGAGCAGAAGAACAGCCTGAAGAAGGGCTCCCTCATGAAGAACCTGAAGGACATGCTAGGTGACTGTCCACGTGCTGCATCAAGGGGGGATGCTCATCTTTCTAGTGGGTTTGCTTTTTTTACAAAAAAAAAAAAGGCTTGTGTTAAATGCTAGTTGTTGTAAAAATCTTTGAGAATTAAAAGATCAAGATGGAGAAATGAGATGTTTGTTATTTCCTGGGAATTTCAGACTTTGGGGTCTTACAGAAGGTGACACTTCTGTGTGCTTTGGACCCCTGAAAAGGTGCCTGTCTGCTTGCAGCAAAATACTAGAGAAACCTGAAGTAGAATTACCACCTCCCAAAGCTTTCCTTTGGTCTGCCAATATCATGGTATCAGATTGTTTCTTTCTTACAAAATCCTATCCATTTGCACAGGGAAGGATACAGCTAAAGCATTTTTCCCCTCTCTGAAATGGATGGCAGTTCACACCCAGTCCCAGGCATTGTTAGCTGAGGGGCAGCTGTGTGATGTCAGAGGCTTCCAGGGGCACCCAGGTGCAGACCATGGGCTGGCTTTGGCCCTGAGTCCCTTTTCTTCCTTGGTGTCAGCACATGGGAAATGCCACCGTGAGTTATGTGAAGTTAGTGTATCCAGTCTTGCCTCTGTCTGTATACTGGACAGACTTGCAGTAATTACTGTTTTAGATTATCTGAGAGAATAATTGTGAGGGCTTTTTCCAAGAATGACTGTTCCAAGCTAACACTTTACAAATCATTGTTTCCTCCTTATATGAGCATAATGTTGTTTGTACCCAAGACTGCAGATTATCACCTAACAGTTTTTTGTTGAAATGAGTCGGTAATATCACCTATACTTCATTTACTTACTTTTTTAAAATTCCAAATAAGAGGATTTGTTTTATTTGGGGAGAGAGAGGAGGAATATATGGGAAAACTGAGAGGGATACATCAAATGTTGTGGGTGTTACAAAATATTCATCTTTCCTTTTATGTAATATTGAAAAGACTAAACTCTCTTCCCAATCACCCCAATCACTTAAAGCCTTCATTTATTGGATAGTGTTTTGTGTTATGGATTAGGTTATTCCCATGATCTGGACAGAGAAGAGAGACTTTGTATGACTCATACTGGGCCACTGGCCATCATAGTTTCTGAGCCCAAAGGAGAAATTGCATTATTCATTAGTAATATGGCCATTTTCCACTAAATTTTGTCCCTTTTATCTTTTTCTTCCCATATGCATGGCACTTGAAAGAAGCACAATGTCTTATGCTTATAAGGCTTAATTGCCTGTGTTTAAAAAAGAGAGTAGCATGAATAGATAAACAGAGGGGCGGAGCAAGATGGTGGACGAATAACACCGCCAGACAGAGGGTCTCTGCAGAAAAGACAGATTCTAGCAGAAACTAGAGGAAAGAAGCAGGCCCGGCTCACAGCCGGACAACGGCCAGAAGGAGGGGTACACTGAGACCCCGGAGACGTCCCAGGAGCCAGGCTGCGGAGGGAACTGGGCTTGAGACACCGGAGCAGCCGAGACCCTGCAAGGTAGGTGGATTGCTATTTCCTCCCGCTCGGATCGCTCGGCTGCGCTCCCCCAGCCGGGTGGAGAGACTGCGACACCAGCACGCCTCCGCGCCCGCCTGCAACCGTGAGCTGTAGCAGACGTGGCACCAGGTTCAACTCTCTCCAGCGCACTCTCGTGAGGGACCCGAGCGCGCGGCCGGCGCATATTGCCTCTCTCCCTCGCGACCTACCGCAGCTCGCCAGAGAGACAATACAGCCACCAGCCGGAGGCACCTCCAGGACGGACCCTTCCGTTTGGCCGCCCGGCCTCCCCAGGTGCTGCTGGCACCGTGCTTCCCCCAGGAAAACGGATGCAACTCAGAGGCTTCGAGAGACATAGACCCCCAGCTTGGCTCCCTGTGTTGTGATTAGGACGGAAATCTCATCCTGGTTGGGATAAGTCTTGAACCTGGACCCAGGTCGGACTGCAGACCAGATCCCTGCCGACGGGTAGCCGATTGCCCGGCGCACAGAAGGTTATAACGTGAAAGCCTACCTGAGTTGTGTGCTCCAGGGGCGGATCGGCGTCCATAGAGGGCAACCCTCCTCCAGGAGGGGCCGTGCGCCCAACCCAGGTGCGTTCCGTGGCAGGAACTCCCCACGGTCATCAGAAAACAAAAAGTCCGGGAGCCTGGTGCTTGTGGTCTGGCCTGCTGGCAGAGAGCCCAGGAGTAGCTGCGTGAGTTGGGGAGGGTGGAAAGAAGTGAGCCTTTACAAAGCTGTGACGTAATTAACATCTGATATTCACAAAAACAGGATATTACCAGGGTGACAGATGTGAGAATCCGATATAAAACACCATCCTTCAATATAGCCATCTCCATCTTTGACAAGCAGAATAAAACATACGTTGGGGAAAAGAACTCTCTCTTCAATAAAATTGGTGCTGGGAACAACTGGATTCCACCTGTAGAAGGCTAAAGACAGGCCCACACCTTTCACCTCTCACAAAAACACTCACGCTGGAAACGACTTAAACTATCAGATAAAACTATTAGAACTCTAGAGGAAAAATTGGAACACTTCTAGACATCGGCTGGAAAGGAGTTGTTGAAGAAAGTCCCCAAAGGCCAATCACAGCAGACAAAAAATAAATTAATGGAGCATGATCAAACTACAAGCTTCTGCACAGCCAAGAAATAGTCTGAAAGAAACAGAACACCTTACAGAATGGGAGTGAAAATTTTTGCATCCTATGCATCCGTAAGGGACTGATAACTAGAATTAACTTAGAACTCACGAAAATTAGGAAGAAAAAATCAAATAACCCATAAAAGTGGGCAAGGACTTGAACAGAATTTTCTAAGAAGACAGAAGATGGCCAACAACATCATGAAGAATGGCTCAACATCTCTAATCATCAGGGAATGCAATCAAACACAATGAGATAATATTACCCAGTGAGAATGGCCTTTATCAAAACATTCCAAACTATAATGCTGCGTGGTGCGGAGAGAGAGGACACTCTACACTGCTGGTCGGGACTGCAAATAGTTCTCACTCTGCTGAAAGCAATATGAGACACTTAAAGCGATACAGTGATTACATTTGATCCACAATGCCCATTGCTGGCACCACCCAATGTCCATGCAACTCTAAAAAAGACCACCTGCACCGAAATGTTTATAGCAGCACAATCTCATAATCACAAGGCTGTGAACAGCCAAGTGCCCATCATCAAAGATGGATTATAAATGTGGTATATGTATACATGGAGTACTATTTCAGCCTCTAAGAACACAATGGTGATATAGCACATCTTATATTTCTGGTCTAGAGCATGGACCCATACTCCTCAATGAGTATCTCAAGATGGAAAAACAGCACAGATATATTCTCCAGCAACTGGTATTAACCTGAGTAGCCTAAGTGGACCTAGGTGCTACAGTAATAGGGTGTTGGGCCAGATGGAGGGAGGGGGCGGGTATATCAATCATAATGGTGAGATGTGCCCATCTGGGGGAGGTTCATGGATGGAGACTCAGATTTTGGGGGAGGGGGAAAATGGGCATTTATTGAAACCTTAAAATCTGTACCCCCATAATATGCCAAAAATAAAAAAAAAAATGAATAGATAAACACTTTGATTGCCTTGAGCTTAATTTTATTTATTTTTCCAATTTTATGCTCTCATCCAAGCACCTACTTTTTAGTGATATTAAACATCACTGACTTGTTTTGTTGGGGGTTTTGTGTGTGTCTCCTCCTCCCCTTCCTTCTTCTTCTTCATTTATTTATTTATTTATTTATTTATTTATTTATTTAGTGTTCTCCAGATTCTTGTAAAGCATGAAATGTCCAGAAATTGGTGGGAAATTGAATAAGGCAAAGTAAGCACTCTGGGTTATCTAGAAATTCCCTAGACTGCCTTGTAATTTTTTATAAAGAGAAAAGACAAAGTCACAAATTGAAATTGTGAACTGCACCTTCCGCTCAGTGTGTTTAATTCTCTCACGAGCTATGATCAGGGAATTCTTGTCATCGCAGGTGCTCAGAGTGGACTGCCAGCTCATCCTGAAGTCCAGGGCTGGGCCCACTGCCCTGTCCCTGCTAGATTGCCACCTGGCTCTGATGGAACACTTCTGTAACATATAGACTTCTAGAGTTGGCCAATTCCATTTTTGGAAAATATGGATTGTTAGAAAGCTCTTCGTTAAATAGAATCACATTTTTACATTTCTTTAACTTTCTCCCTTGGCTTTTACATTGCCCTCTAGGGCTGCACTAAGTCCATCTGCTCTTCATCTGTAGAGCAACAGCTCTCCTAGAGGGTTTGTTCTATGGAAACATTTGTAGTAACCATTATATATTATAAAAATACAGATAAAATTATGTTTTGAGCACATGTATTTAGTAATAGCAGTTGCTTTTCGTAGTGCAATGGCCCTTGGAGGTAAGTATGACTTTTATCAGGCAAGAGTGCCTCCATGGTTGGCGATAGGGTCAGAATCAAGGTCAAGGTCAGGGCCAGGGTCAGGGTCAGAATCAGGTTCAGGTTTAGGGTAAGGGTCAGGGTCACAGTCAGGGTTAGGGTAGGGTTAGAGTTAGGGTTAGAGTTAGGGTTAGGCGTTAGGGTTAGGGATAGGGATAGGGATAGGTGTTAGGTTTAGGGTCAGGGTCAGGGTTAGGGTTAGG